AATATTTTTATCACAACTTGTTTATACAATACCTAAGAAATAAAATTCTATAATATTCTTTATTTTTTGCCACCTTTGTTTCTTGCCGCCTTAATTAACTAAAAATATTTTTATCACAACTTGTTTATACAATACCTGAGAAATAAAATTCTATAGTATTCTTTATTTTTTGCTACCTTTGTTTCTTGCCGCCTTCATTAACTAAAAATATTTTTATCACAACTTGTTCATATAATACCTGAGAAATAAAATTTTGTAATATTCTTTATTTTTTGCCACCTTCATTAATTAAAAATATTTTTATCACAACTTGTTTATATAACCTATCTATGAATAAAAAAATATAATAAAGGTAATTAAATATTTCTATCACAATTTGTTTATATACCTATCTATAGGTAACTTTATTTGAAAGATAAAAAAAAAAAGAACACAAGAAACTTCAAATGTTTTGATATCTTAAAAAATGAAAATATATTAGATAAGACATTTCGTTTAAATAAAAAATTACAAATTGTACAAATTATAATTTATTTAATAATAAATTCTCTTGATACATAATAGTATCAAGTTTGATAATAATTGATAACAAGCGAAGATTTTCAAATAAATTTTATAAATTACAAACCTACCGATCACTCTGTTACGCAGAATTAAAAAATGATAAAATAGATGTTTGTAATTTATATATAATTTATAATCTAATTGTAACTTAGACCATTAGTTATAACTTATACCATAAATTTTGTAAAATTACTTATTTTTTCGCAAGAATCGTTTTTATTTTACTAATTTTCTTTTCCAATGCATTATCCATTGTTCTATTTGCTTTTCTAAATTCAATTTTCACAAAGCATAAAAAACTAATTTAATTTATATCATCAGTAGATTTTATAAAAGTTTGAAATTTTCGTTTTCATAAACATAATTAAATAAAAAAAAAAAACATAATTAAAATAAATCTAAGTAAAAAATTGTCTCTTTTACGTGAAATTATAATTTTATAACAATTTTCTATATATTTTATATATCTCTGCATATTATGTGTATTTTTGCATCTTCAAATTTTTTATAAATAAAAATCCGCAATCTAATTATCAGTATTGCTTAACTAATTAATTTGACAATGAATGTATTAAAGAATTAAACATTTCTTTAATTTTGTAAACTTTTATAATAACTCAGTTCACAAATTAAATTTGACAAAGGAATTTATAAATATTTTTACAAAATAAACAATATTATATTTTACAAAATAGTTTAAAGGATCTAATAAGATATAAAGATCTACGAATATGTAATAACTCATTGACAGAGCATAATATCGGATTGTCGGCAACTCTAGGATTCAATCGCAAAGAAAATGTCGTACGTTGACATATAAACGCAAATGTATAAGAATTCTCTTCAATCACACGAATTTGTATCGTCATGAAGTCTAACGGTATGTTAGGCCGCATAACATTGAAAACCGATGTAAATTTAATGTTGATATCTTCGCGCGAACTTGAACTAAGGCAAGAAAAGTCTGGATAAAATCCAAACCTAGTATATATGGAAGGATCATTGCACTCACAGTAGAAAATTTTTCATCTCACGCAATATTCACGGTTTAATAAAATCGTGAAAGGAATCTATGAATATATTTAAATTATCTGACAAAGATAAGAATGACAATAAGAATCATAATCGAGAAAAATTTTTTAAAAGGTTTCTTTTGGTTTTAATAAAGATAAATTTATATAGAAATATTAATGTTTGTATTTTGTATTTCCACAAAAATAGCCTTTCCTGCTCTTACTGAAAAGAAAATATAAAAGAAAGAACATTATATCTATTTTTAGTATAAAAAAAGGTCAATTATTTGTTTCAGGCGCAGCTGCAACGTATTCAGCGTTATCAAAGATTTAGATAAATCGAAAATCAGACTAATAAAATCGATAATCAGCTTTGTCACCGACTTAAAAATTTATGCATCGTTGCCCGAGCGATTATAAAATGCCAGCCATATATTCGTGCTAAGAACTTTTACCAATTTCCAGGGAATAAAATAAACGTTAAATAAAATTTTAAAATAAGAAAAAGAAAAATCGTAATACAATGTATTTCAATTTTTGTTCTCTAGTATATCAGTTGTTTGATATATAAGTGCTATTTTGATTAAAAATTGGAAAAAATTCTTTTAAAAATAGATGAAATTCTTTTTTGTGAAAATTATATCAAGAAACTACATTATCGAGCGAGATACTTTTGACTTCGAGATCGATTTCAATAGATGGTGTTCTCGTAGTACGAACGGCCGCGACACGTGAAATCTGACAGCGTGAACAATCAGTGGCTAAAACTGACAACACGCGAAAAATTGATCTCGGAGTGATTCTATTATCGTGTTCTCTAACATTGCTACTATTTAAACAATATCAACGCAACAGCGTTATCCAAAGAGGACCATTATGTATCGAGAAAATTGTCTTCAACGTTATTGATTATTATGAATGTTCTTAATTGTGAAATGAATAGAAATGTATCCTTCTAACGCGGCGTTAAAACGCTACACAAGTACGAGATGGCCTTAATAATGTCAGGTGACTTTAAATCTAACGTAACGATTATTGATTTAATTATTATTGCTGTATACAAATGTATACATCATAAATTATAAACCGATTGTATGAAATTTTCATCGCGGGATGAGATTGATGTAGATTGTTTAAGAAAGTGTGTATATATTTGATATTCTTACGATAAAGGAAAGCTCTGAAAGAATAAAACAGGATGGGATCGGAACAGAGTTCTCAAGGTGGAACGCAGAGTGCTAATACTAATAGAACAAGAAATGTACCATTGAGACGTGGTAAAAGTGTACCAAATCGTGAACGAGTACCAGAAGATACACCACCAAGATGTACTAGTCCTGGTGCAAGCATTTGTTCAGATTCTGACCTACCATATATATCTTATACTGTGAATAGACCTATCGGCGATTCACCAAAGATGACAAATAAACAATCACAGTTATACAGAGGCAAAAGTTTGGGTGCGCAAGATATATCTAGACGTAAAAATAGCTTAGGTTCCAGTAGCTACAGGTAACGCGCATGATTATTTAATAATAACATGTATTTTTTTAATAATATCTTTCTTTTATTCGGGTAATAAATCTGTAATTTTCTAATTACAGGAAAACTACCTCCGACAAAATTCACAACATTGTTGTAGTGAAACCAGCCTTGCAAGATCCGACAGCCGATAAAGATCCTGACTTGGTTAAATTACAAAGTATTCCCATGTTCCTACCTATTATGCGTGGCACTCTCAATCTGCCACCTGGCGTAAGGGATCCAGAGGTCCTAGAAAGACTCAATCCCATTGGTCTGTTCAACCTGTGTGCTCGGTATCAACATCACCTTAACACTAATGCTCAAATGATAGCCACCGAACAATCCACTCTATGCATCAATATTGAACCAGAAGTAACCAAGATTCTTAATTTGGTAACAGAAAGACAAAAAAAGTTTGCCAAGTTTACTGAACAACTGAACAAAATACATGAGCTTAGTAAACAACTAACTAAATGCCATTCTCTTTTGAATCAAACTCTGGAAAGCCTTGAAACTTTGAACAATCTTTTACCAATAGAGGATAGGTTAGAACCATTTGTATGGACTACTGGATAAGATTGATGTTAAAGAGTATATTGAATGATTTGCTTGAGAAATATTACAAGTACATTGCACTGGTGCTAAGATAATCTGAATTGATTCGATGCAACAATCTGTTACGAGATTTGTTCTGTTTCTTTTGTTAATCACAATGAATTTTTACTATTAATCCTTACAAAAATTCTAATATCTATACATGTGTTGCACAGAAATTTTGTCTATGAGATTATATATGTATATATATTTTCGTGTTAATCCTAATAATTGTATAATTGTATAAAAAGAATACGATGTTTAAGTTCAAAAATACATACATGATGAAATGATTATACATTTTATTAAAATAAAAATAAACAATTCCGCGATAAAATATTTCATAGCATCTATTGCAATATAAAAAATTATGTAACATATATAAAAATGTACATTTCATAATTTTTAGTCATTTACATACCCTAGTTGTTAATACCAGCAGATCGTTGTACTTTTAACATTCTGTATGCTGCAATGACATCACTTTGCTGTTTTTCTAACTGTCTTCTTTCTCCAAGTGGTAGATTCTTACGTTTCCCTGATTTATCTGTAGATATGATCTTCTTATCATTCATTTTTACTTTATCACTTTTCTTAAGTATTGAATGAAGGAGAAGTTCCTTCTCACCAGGCTGTAACAAAAAATAAATAAATTTTATTTAGCAGTTAAATGTACTGCAAGATTAAGAGATATAATATCAGGTACAAATATACCTTAGAAGTACTTATAGCATTTGCATATTTTGGTCTGATTTTTAATTGTGGTGGTTCATGAACAACTTCTCCAAACTTAACTTGATCTTTAAAATTATTAAATTCATCTACTCTCTTTTCTATTTGTTTTTGTTTCTTCAATTTTAACTTTTCCTTTCTCTTTTCCGACTTAGTCATTTTAGGCTCATCCGTATCCTTCTTCTTCTTCTTCTTTCTAACATTTCTGTGTTTCATCCTCAACATTTCGATTTTATCTAATTCAGTTTTTTCACATTTTGAAAGCCCTTCTATCTTTCCTGTTTCTGGATTTCGATTGACTTGAACATCGTACTTTCTTTCGAAGGAGGTTTCATTTATGAAGGCATGTGTAGTCCTGTTAACTCTGTGCAAAAATCTTTCCTCGTTTTCGCCAGGTTTCTGTTGAAATATAGGAACAACTTTCTCAGGTCTGGCCTTGGGATGTAAAGGCTTAGACTCTTGTTTGCCAACAGATATGAGAGCATTTTTCTTCTTTTTTTTCTTCTTAATTTTGGTTATCTTGCCTGATTTCACTGCCTCTTTCAATTTTACTACTCTTTCTAAACTTCTCGGTATTGTTTGTTCTTCCGCGTTTTTTGGCGGTGCATTTATCTTTGTTTCTAACCTATAATAGGCAGTTCACTAACCTATGTAAAATAATTCGGAAATAAAAAATATTTAACGCACAACTCACTCTGCATGTCGTTTTGCCTGTTGCTTAAAAGGATCTTTTACACCTCTGTGCTTTTTTCCTGGGATTTTCCGACCCATTTTTCTCCGATAAACAACCGAATACGGTTTTCACGTGGTAAAAACGCAACGTCGTCTGCTTGAAAATATGAATGCGCGCGGTTACACTAAATTCAAAATATCGGTCACGAGATCGTTCAACTTCTAATCGCAAAATTCGTATTATTTCTTGAAAAATAAAACTTTAGAATAAAAATATTACAAAATAACATTGTTCTAATTATTCTTAATTTATTGAAAATTTATTATAGTACATAATTTTAAAATTAGATTAAGTTATTAAATTGAAGAAAAATTATTGGAAGATTATAAGAAAAAAATCGTTAAATATAATAAAGATAGAAATTGTATTGTTTGGTAAATAATAACATTGTGTACTATGGAATCGACACATTTTTCTTTGAATAAAAATATTTTTCACACATTTTTGGACTTTGAAATGAGCCCTTTTGCCATTTTCATGTCATACCGTACTTATTGTTCTAATTTAAACAAATTTTGATAGCAGTACTACTAGTGATAATAATTAAAATCAAAAAATAGTGCCAATTCTACTGAAATTGATTTGAAATTGAATTGATAAAACTTCATTAATAAAAGAACTTAGAAATAACGATTAATGAAAATTTAAAATTTACTATATCATTTACAGGCAATGACTATACTTAATTATCTAAAGTGATAATTAGATGTGAATTAGATACGATGTTTTAATTCAGTGTAGATTCATAGTTTGAATAAATCACTTTATATACATAATGTTTTTTTTATCTCGCAAATATGTTGTAACAAAGGATTGAATTTATCAACAAAAAAATTTTTGGTACTGATTTTAATATAAGTTGTCTAGTATAAAGCAATACATTATGTAATACAAATTATTGTTTTACAAGTAATCAACCCTAATATTTGTGTCGAAAAATCATTGTTTTATTTCAATTATTTTAGTTTTAATTTTGTGAAATATATCACGTGAAAGACAAGAACAACATAAATACATGAAAATCGTTCATATCTTTTTCCATCTTTTACATGATAGATCTAATTGAATAATTCTATATTTAAATATCATAGTAAACTATTTATAAATTTTTTATAAAATTAAATATTTTAATATGATTTCATACAAATATATAATTTTAAGTTTCATTGAATTTTATTTTGTTGAAAAATAAAATCACAGTAATTCTGTGTATGGAGCCTCCAGAATATGTGATAGAAAAATGTTTATTTTGCGCCACATCTGTAGTTTTACATACTATAATGAACAAATAAGCATTATTATATATATAAACACTATAAAAAACAATATACATGAATATACATACAAATGAATAAACTAATAGTATCAAATAATAATAAACGTAATTTATTTTTACACAAAGATATGAAATTTCAGATTATTTTTTAATCTTCTTTAGCAACCTCATCTGATTCTTCTTTAGCAATTTCATCCGATTCTCCGCTACATCTTTCACACGTTTTGCACGAATTCCTACTAATTTAGCATCAACCTGAGCATTACAAAGACTTGTATATACAAAGAATTTCTTTTCGTCTTCAGAAATTACATGAGCCTTAGCTTCAACTTGTGCTTGGTGTCTAATAGGCATGATTTCTCCTTTAACTTGCATGGCAAGTTTCATCTCTTCTTCAGTAGCATCACCCTTTTTAGGCTAATTTCATAAATAACATTAGCATATAATCTTTTTCAGTAGCTCTTAAATTTAAAATTATACTTACTTTCCTTTCATTCAATGGGAAAAGAATCAATTTAGATCTATATTCTTTGAGTCTTTGAGCATTTGTTTGTAAAGACTCAACTGACTTGTTGCATCTTCTAGGATCTACTGCAATTTCAATAGTTTACAGGTCTCAGAAGCTTTACAGGTCTTGTAATTTAAATGAAATTACAAAGAAAATGATAAAATAATTATAATAAATAATGTTTTATTTACCTTGGTGCAACAACACGAGCTTTTTTCATACGACTTTGTTCATGACGATATTTTCTACCTGGTTGGTTAAACCAAGTTTTAAAAATCTTTGCCAATCTTTATGAAAGTACTCATTAGGAATCATATTATTTCTTTTACCATGATTGAACTGAAACAAAAATATAATTATATTATATTAAATGATATATAAATTTACATACCATTTGTTTTTGAAAAACTAGTTTAAACATAAAAATCTAGCTAATAAATTTAAAAGGTTTGTACAATAATTATACAATGTAAACAAAACATCAATTTTCCATTGTAAATAAGATTTTGTAAATAACTTTAATGTGACTTTAATGTTATTTTGTAGCATTTCTATAATTATTATGCATACATCTTCCTATTAAAAACTTAATGATAAATTAATTATAAATTAATTGCATATAAGAACAAGATAACATGATCAATGTCAAAAACTTTCTTTAATTATAAAATTACAATATTGTTTATACTTGAAAACATAAATAATAATAGTTTATGATTACTTTGCAAAGTATTTTTTCAAGATGTTAAATTTTTAACTAAATTTTAAATCTAAAAGTTACTCATAAATATGTTCACATACGCCGGAAAAAGAATCGACGATACGAGGTAAAATTTTTAGCACAAACAAGATACAGAATAGATGTGGTATCTAATGCACTTTTGTCATATGCTCTTTACCATTTTCATGGTCTTTACCATGGTCATCCTGCCATACTGATTTAAACAGCTTTTGTACGGCAACACTACTGACGATAAGAATTGAAATGTAAAAAATATAAATGCAGCTAATTCTGCACCGAAATTTATTTATTAAATTGTTGCCTGTTTCTTTCAATTTTGTGGCTTTTTCTTAAGTTTTGATAACTAAACATCGCGCGAAGTTTGATTTGACGCGTATGAATTGTAACATATGTAGAGATATAATTTAATGGTGTTAATTATTATTAATTAAAACAAATAATAAAAGCAAGATAGACAACACAGGCAACAATAATTCGCCCAACAAAGAATCGCCTGAGTTACTCGCTTGTCTCACTTGTCCGAAAAAATTTCGGACTAGATTGGGCTAACATCATTTGCTCGCATATGCAATGAGTCCATTATGCGAGTTTTTGACTGTTTGTAATGATGGTGGCCTTATTGAATTTCTGATATTGAATTAGATCTTTGTAGATGAAACAAAATGTCTGAAATGTGAATCGAAGATGAAATTAACGCAATATTTCGTCAATTTGCAATATCACTGCCACGTTATACATTATTAAACAAATTTACAATGAGAAAATTCGCAAACTGTGATGCTTTGATTGGAACATGGTATTGCTCGATTTTCTTCAAGTAATAACTGCTTGTCGTTTCATAAATTTTCTTATGACCATCACCATCACCTCGAAAGCAATAGATCTTCTATCTTAAGGGCTCACGTAGAAAACGTTATCTTCAAGGCAAAGAGGATGGCTAAGGCTATGACGGTATTATTTTCCAACGTTAGGAGCCTGGAGCAGGTTACTGCTATTATTATCATAACGTTGAGAATCCATCATCCTATATGCTGTTCCAGTATGAACTGGGAAAGAATCAGATGCAGATGAAGAAGGCGCAGAAAACCATGCTTGTAGGAATTACTATAGCAGGACTACTGCATAGATTTGTGTCCTAGCTGACAAACTGTCCACTGGATAGAAAATCCAGAAGTAGGTGGAGTTATACAAGATTAAATCTCCAAGAATAAGTCATGACTCTGAAAATCTCCAAACAAAGACATAATAGAAGCTAAAAACAGAATCAAGAATTGAAAAGAATTGGTAATTTGGATGGGAAAGCTATAAGCCAGAGAATTAAATAGATAGGATGATTGGGAGCCCAACTGGTTCAGAAAATGTAGAAAAGCGTATAGTTTGGTCTAAACTTTACAGGGAACACAATACTTACCACAATAGAATTAACAAAACAACTGAAAACTGTAGGGCCTCTCCGGATGATCCACAACATGTTATTTCTGATTGTTCAAAATGGTCTGAGATGTTCATTAAATTCAGTGTCATTCTTGGTGTCCTAGAAATTTAAACGATGAGTGAGGTCTCTTGATGGAAAATATTTAAGGATTTCTCCTATCAAGTTATATTCTTTTTGGTCAGTTTGAAATGTCGTTTGAAAACGACCAGATATTTTTAAAAAAAGAGTATCGATACAGGGGGCAATAGACAAATTTCTAGCCAGCAATGCTATCTCCGATTCCTGAGGCAGATTTTCATTTTTTCAGAAATTTGAAATTATTCTTTGGAAAAAAAATTTTATTTTTCAAAATTCTCTTAACGAAGTTTATCGTTAATAAAAGTTAAGACTTCTTCAAAAAGAGTATTTTTTCATTAAAATCTTGTTGGAAGAATATTGTGAATGCAAATAAATGGTGCTAATTTTGATTGAAGTTGAAAATAATTTTCAAAAATATCCAACATAAACTTTATAGAAAAATTCTAATGACAAGCGTATATAACTTAGATTATATAAGTATATTATTATTTTTATGTACGTTCAAACAATAGTAAGAACCAATATTCTCTTTTATCATTTTTATAAGAAATGACTAATAATTAGGAAATGAATTATTCTCAATGTAGCTATGCGATGAAGATTAGAGGCCAAAGGTGCAGAAGAATTCATTTATTCATCAATGAATTCCAAGAAAAGTAAGAGAGTGTGATTGTTGAAAATAAAAACATCTGGTTTTCAAAGACTAAACTTTCTTGATGAAACAACATTAAAATTACCATATATGTTAATATACAGTTCTAACACATATAATGTGACCTACCAATTGTAAGACTTACCTATATGTAACAAATTTTCAAGCCTAAATTTTTCTATATTCTTTCTTATATTTTCTCATTATAGGGAAACATGCCAGCATTTAACGATTTATTCCAACCATGCCCTTACTCTGCATTACTTGATAATACAGTTTGGTTTCAGAATATGATTATATCGACTTCCTCCTTAATCAACCATTTCTATAGTTTCATGTTTGGTAGAGATAATGTAAACGTTTCGTTTATCTTTCCATTTTAAAGCCAACATGCCATTGCTGTTTTCTATTTATTTTGTATTCATCTTTTTTTTAATTTTATTTCAACTAAATCGTTTGGCACATTCTTTCTATTATCGCATACGGCTCCAATAGCACTAGTTTTGTTTGCAATTAATTTTAAAAAGTCTTGAAGATGAATACCAATTATCGAGGTATAAAGTGTGTCCTTTAATATTGACTTCAACTATTCTATGATAATAATAACTTGACGATAATTCGCATAGTTTGTAGATTTTTAAAATTCTAGCTCTTTATGACGAATTAACCTGCTTGTAGACATTTAAATTCATCTATGACAATGTCTTGTTTCATTGTATATTGTTATGTCCCAAGAAAGGCCTCTGCTATTTTTATGAAAATGCCAAGACCAAGACTTATGGGAATGCGATTTTGGGATCGTGTCGATAAGGTAGGATAAAGGAAGCGTTTCGTCTCAGAATCGCCCACCAGACTTATCTGTGGTTGGTAATTTCTACCTCAGACGCTTGATTGTTAGAGGCTGGGTACGGAGATGGTCCATCCATCTTACAATTAGAGGGAGTTCCACAACGATAATAGTTTTTGCATATCTTGAACTGGTATTTCAGCCAAGAATTAGAACGATTATAATTAGAATTTATACGATTGAGATTGAAGAATTTGAAATGCGCGGAGACGTCACATATATATTTCTTTAAATTTTTCATTAAAAAAAAAATTTATTATAGGTTTTATTTTTTGTAAACGATCCGCATGGTCAATTGTATTATTATTTGTAAAGTGTAAAAACCACGTAATTTGTAAAAATCTAGTTGAGGTTTTTCCGAATATGAGCGTTTCTAAAAGTGCTCTCCTGGACCAATTCATTTGGATTTTCGGTTTTTTTACTTAGGCCATTATGCATAACGCAAAATATAACTTAATCTCATCAGAATCTACAGGAAGCAAAGTCACGTTGATTTTTCTTATTTTATTTTCATCAGCCGTGGTTTGTCCAAATTTTATTTTCCACATGATTGTTCCCAATCATTTCCCAATACATAAATAATGCATTAAAAGAGTCTAATTTCTGTCTTGATCTAACTACTTAGAACTCGTTATATCAAGAGATTTTATATAATGCCAATCCTTGGCTTAAAAATTATTTTTCGCTTCCCAAATCCAGTCTTTTGATAATTGATGGCAATTTTTCTCGTCATCGGAAAATGGAAGACTTTTGGAAAATTCTCGTAACTAATCGTTATCAGATCGTGTTTGATGAAAATTGATGTGTCACAAATTAAAAAAATTTGAAGACAATTGGGGGGGGGGGGAGATGCAAATATACATAAAATGAAAGTATATTTTGCTTTATCCATTCTAATGACGGAAGTAAAAAAATCAACTATTCAATCTTACTCAACAAGGAGAAGCATAATTGAGACTTTAACATTTAGAAAAATAATGCCATTTTGGCGACTTGTGCAATTGACTCACTTTTTACATTTGAATGAAATGGAAGATAAAAGTGATCGTTTACGTAAATTAAGAAACACAATCAACTATTTAAATGAGAAGTTTGAATATATTTATACTTCCGAGGGAAAACGTATCATTAGACGAATTCTATGTAATTCAATTCATGAAAAAGTGCACGCTCGGTGTAAAATATTATAAACTGCGCGAGTCTAAATCAATATTGTATCAAATTTAAGATATGCACGGGTAAAGATGAAAAAATTCAATTACAACGTATCAAAAAATATTGTAATGATTGTATCTGTTTATGTGCACATCAATAGAAGGTTGCAGGCACATTCTGTTCTTAGATAATTGGTAGTCTTCGCCAAACCTTTATCGAAAATTGCATACTATAAAATTAATACCATCAATTTGTCAGAGTTTATTTAATTAGTTAATAAGAACACGCGATTCTGGATTGGAAATATAGGTACATTTTGAACGACGCCTCGAGATCAACTGCGCGCGAAGTTAGTTTACAAAAGACAATCGTATTCACACAATTCACAGCATTTATCGATATATTCCAAGAAAATTGTATCTATAAAAATTAATACCAAAATTAACACCACAAGAACAGTTAAATCGAACAGGAAGAATATGCAAAGAGAACTTGTAGCGATAAATTAAAAGACTTCAAATCCTTGTATGATTCGCTCTTATAATAAATAACAATTCGAGATTAATACTTTGACTTGATTTCAATTTGATTATCTCGATTAACGACAGACTATTATCGCGATTCGCTATTTGGTTCCGATGAATGTTGAAAAAGTGACTCGCTACAAAGGAACTGTTTCATGTGTTATTTCTTAAATGAGTTTTTCTTAACTTTGCATTACAAGGCCTTGATTGTTATCTGTTCAACAAAAACGTGATAAACTAACATTGGAATTATGTGTACAGATTTCAATAAACAGATTAGAAATCTGGTCCTGCATGAATTCTTTGAACTCTGAACGTCACACTAAAGGTGACAATATAATAAAAATTTGGAAATTGTTATAAAAATTATTACACTTTTAAAAATTATAAGAAATAAATCAAATAATAATAATAATAGATAGACATATGAATTTTATCTAATTAGATTAATTTATCTAATTTATCTTAAAATAAATGCAAGTGGATACGCAACAACATTGAAAATAAATGGAATTCAAAGGATTAAACTTGTTAAAATGTGTTAGAAAGAGAAGAGGAAGAGAGAACATATTTTTCTTTTGTTAAAATTCATTCAAGCTTCATGATACTGTTTCAAAAAAATTAATTATAATTCATGAAAATTTTGTAAAAAAGAGTTTTAGATTTTCACTGAAAATAGATATATATTGTTGGAATATCTTTCTTATTTTATTTTATGACACGTGAAATCAGTTACACTTTCATAAATGTGAATATATTAAATTTATAATAAAATTTTTGCAAATATGAAAATATAAAAATTTATGTAGTGTGTTTGTAAATATATTCGTACCGAAGGAATTACGAAAATAATAAAAAGAATTAAAGAAAATCTGTACAAGAAGAATCTTGACCAGTATAATAAGAGGATGGTAAGTCACTTAATAAGACCAGAAAAACATTTAATTTCATATTTAGAAGTGGGAACCCAATCGTTCAGTATTTTAGATTATATTTGCAAAACACATGAATTTATTTGATTTGATATCTCTTAAAATAAATCATCGGTTACAAGTAGTAGAAAGGAAGTTTTCATTTTGCTACCGTTGCAACTTCAAAAGACTCCTGTCTCCTCGAAATGGAACAAAACACAAGCAACTCATTATCACGCGTGTTATCGACGTTATTTACGGTTTGAAAAATGTTATAAACAACATTATAGAGCATATAATACATAGTAAAAGCGAAACTCTCCTATCCGAACATTGTATCATTTAGTAACAGCCTCCTTCAAATCTGTATTTATACACATATATTTTATAATTAGCAGTAATTATATACAATGTGCGCTGTTCTTCATTCGAATTAGTGAATTTTGATCCTGTTGAATCGCGTTAGCTCGTGATTTGCAACGACTCAAACGGATTTTCTGCCCGCGATTAATCTTGTACAGACTGATTAATGGGAATGTTATCCGTAATCCAAAGTAGACTAGATTCCTACGCGGATTAGTGAATCGCGTACTATATTCCTATACACTATACACTATATTCCTCGCGACTATCTTTCTTATTTTGTATGCTTTGATTGTCATATATCTTAACTTTTTTTAACGACTTTCGTATATCTGCCCTCCCCGTTGATGGCGGGCCTGTTTTATAAATTTCCACTAGCAAGTCGCAGACATTAAATTGAAAGCGTGAGCCGTTCGATTACTCGTATCTACGTCGCGTTAATTTGAACATTATGTGCTAATCCGCATCTGGAAATGCTAAACGAAACCGTCACCTTTTACCAGCATGAAAAAGTGGGCGAACAATTAGCTTCTGTCATAACATTTTGTAAATTAAAAATAATTTCTTCATGCCAATAAAAACGATGTCTGACGTCTTCATTTAAAACGTTCCGGTGTTTTTTAATGGCGAATACTCGATTTTTCGTCTCTTGAAATTATCTGAGTTTCCAGAGATCCTAATTTATTACTTAGTACGAATAGTTGATAAAGTTA